ATATATATACATATATATATACATATACATATATATATATCTTCGTTATATAGCATGAAGTCAACGACAGCATTTTACATCCCCCGGAGATCCCCGCGTAGCACGTGGCCTATAATTAAAAGTGTCCCAATAACAAAAGTGATCTCTACGAGGGAAGTGCCTAGGCATCTTACAATCTTTAGGGTTTTATACAACCCTATAACATATCTTCTCATCTCTTCGAGAGCGTGAGCGAAACTTTCTCAAATTCTACACTAGTGCCTGGATGTTTAGTGGATTGTACTTGACCCAGTCTACCCGAGGGGTGTAGGTCTGCGATGAAAGAGAATCTTGCTATCTCACGAGCACCTCTAAGGAAGACTGAGCTGAGTCACTCTCGCACAGAAACAGACAGGCTTGACCATATACATCTCCAACTGAACTGGTTGTAACTAACACTTCTTCAACAGACCACCACGTGCTGTGCGCTTCGCGACCGAGAACCCTAAAACCCAGTTCACACTCAGAGGGTTCTTCGCACGTTAAAGCCACCCCCATAATTTCATACCGCATACAGAACTTCTGATTGGTCAACCCTAAAACCCTAAAACTCAGTGTCAGTCGTACACTCTAAAACAGTGATAGTTACTCACGCCATAGACACACACAAGTCAGTTCACAGAGTTTTAGGGTTTAGGGTTTCCCCAACTCAAACCCACACAGCAATCAGTTCATAGGGTTTTAGGGTTTAGGGGTTCGCCCACTCAGGGTTTAGCCATCGCTCACCTGGTTGTCGTCGTGGTGGCGCAGTCGGTGCACGAGGGCGCTCTTGCGGCCGTTGACTGTCAGACGTCTCTGCAGACACAACCGCCGCAGATCAGTCACGCGCATGGCTGTGTACGCCTTCTCCACTGTCAAGGCCACAGGGTCACTCTGTGCACAACTGGAGGGGAAGGGCACGTGCACCCTCATCTGTGGCAAACAAAATCACACTAGGCTATGGGATAGTACTAGTGCAAACATTATACACACGCACACACACACACACACCACAA